TTTTTTTTTTTTTTTTTTTTTTGTATGGAGACATTACAGCACTTCACAGCTGGACAGTAGAAAGTGTATGGCTGGTAATACCTGTAAAAAGCCTCTCCTGTCTGGTTGCCATTTGCTTTGTTATCAGTCATATTTTTGCAGTTGGCTGTTCTTCCTTGCTCCGGGATATCAAAGCTAGCTGTGGAATATCTTTTCATAGAAACATCAGCCCTTTCTTAATATGGTGGTGCCTCGACTTACAAACGTCCCTACTTATGACCATTTCAAGTTATGACCAGCTCCGGCTGCAAAATTTTGCTTCTACTTGCGACCAGAGCTTCCATCTACGAACAGAAAAGGGTGGAAAATTCAAATTTCTAACTGTAGGTGGCAACGAGGCAGCTTCTTTGTAGCTCTTTCGTCCCAGCAGTTAAAGAGAGTGCGTTGTCGTTGTCGGAGGCTTGGAACTGTCTCCTTCTGCTTCTGAGAGTGTGTGTATGTGTTTGCAGGGAGGCTTTGGGCTGCATGGTAAGGTAAGGTGCAGTTTTCTGCTTTTTAAAACCTGGGTGTTTTTGCAGCGTGGTTTTGAGTTGGGAGGGGTTATATTTCTGTGCTGTGATGGGTCTTGGGGGTTTGTTTGATTTTGTTCCCCCCATTTCCAATGGGTCTTGGGGGGTTTGGTTGCTTTTGGGTTTTTCCCCATTTCTGATGGGTCTTGGGGTTTGTTTGTTTTTTTGTATCCCCCCATTTCCAATGGGTCTTGGGGGGGTTTGGTTGCTTTTGGGGTTTCCCCCATTTCCGATGGGTCTTGCATGCTTCCCTTGCTTTTTCCTTTGCTGTCTTTGCATTTTTGACGTGCCCCCTTTGTTCTCTGTGCATTTCTGACCTGCTCCGTTTGTTTTCTGTGCATTTCCAATGGGTCTTGAACGTTTGTTTGCTTTTCTTTTTTTCTTTTCTATTTGGCTGGAAGAGATTAATCGCGTTTCCAATAAGTCTTGCAGTGATTTTTTTTCCTTTGGTGTTTTTTTTCTTTGGCTGGAACCAATTAATTGCATTTCAATGCACTCCTATGGGAGATGGTGTTTCAACTTACGGCCATTTTGAGTTACGTCCATCTTCTGGAAGGGATTATGGTCGTAAGTTGAAGCCCCACTGTATAGGTGATCTTTTTTATTGATCCCAGTGTTATGGTGGCTGCTTATGGATGCTGTCTAGTGAAGAGAGACGATAGTCCCAGGATGTAAAAATGGGTGTCAGTATTTTATTCAATGATAAGAGCCCAACACTATTCAGCTAATATATTTTCAGCCTTCTTCGGGGGGATTAATCCATTTATAAGTCCATTTATTCGAAAAAGTGTGGGAAACTGCCCCTAAAAAATCCTCAGAGTCAGATTCAATATTAGTGCCCCTGAAGAAGGCTGCAAATATATTAGCCGAAATGCATTGGACTCTTTGAATAAAATACTGATACCCATTATTACATCCTGGGACTATCGTCTCTCTTTGGTAGACAGTGTCAGTGGATGTACCAGTCTTTGTTTTTGGCCACTTATGGATGACACACATTTATGTAAAAATTCATGTGTCGGTTTATATGTATGCATATAGGTAACCTTAGAAATAATAATACAAATTAAGATAGATTAGCATAGTTTGGATAACTAGAACTTAAATGGCTGATGCATCTGCTTAGTTTGCTTAGCTGTGGATGGGGCCTGGCTGTTACTTATTTTCTTTCTTTATTTTGGACTCAGATCAAACGGTCCTTCAGATAAACTATATTTTAAAATATAGATCAGTCTTCTGAGATTTGCTCAAAGACAGAACTGTTGTCTATAAAATTGAATTATGGACTTGATTCCTGTGCCTTTTACATCTGCAGAACAAAAATTCACTTGTGTACATACAGTGTAGTAATGCCCTAGTTTCCCAGTCTCTTGTGCTATGAAGTACTCTGTGGAAGGCTCCCTCACCTTGTATTCATTACTTTGTTCTTATAGAGACTATATAACTCAAACATATGGCTGGTACTGAGCATTTTATTTCAAAAAGAACAGAGATCACTTTTTTCTAGTTTATGTGGCATTTTTATCTAAGTATTTTGTCTGTAGTCAAGCCATTACATACTACCTCATAATGCCACCTCCCCAGCTCTGTTTACCTCTTGTATCAACAGAATGCCTGGAAGACTGCTGGATATTGTATGCTATGATAATGGAGCTTCCTTGAAGAGATGTGGGAGGTTTTGTTGTTGTAGGTTGGTCCAGCAGATCATAATATATTACTGTTTATGTTTCTTTTGAGGCAGTTGCAGTTTCATTGATGTCTTTGGAGATTGTTTTTAGAATTGCTGGAGTTAGGGCCTTATAGTTTCCTGGGCATGCCAAAAATTATGATTGCTAGGATTTCCAAGCAGAACATAGGAGTGGAGTGCAGCACATGGCTTAGAGGTATGATCATATTCCTGATGGTTCCAAACCGCAAGCTGTAGAGTGGGAAAGGATGTGTTATATGTTTGACCCTCTATAGCTGCCAGTTGACTCTTCACCATCAGTGTAAATTTCAGTCTGGGGAAAGGAGAGGAATTTTTTTTCTTGTGAAAATGATTCCTGTCCCCTGCTACAGCTTCAGAATTGGGGGAAATGCTGGTCATTCCTCATGTAGTGGTGCCTTGCAAGACGATGTTAATTCATTCAGCGAAAATCGCTGTCTTGTGAAAACATAGTCTTGTGAAATGCGGTTCCCTATTGGAATGCATTGAAATCCATTTAATGTGTTCCAGTGGGGGAAATCGTCGTCTTGCGAAAATCGCCCATAGAGAAACCTTTTTGCGAAACATGGACCCAGCTGTCAAAATTGCTGTCTTGCGAAAAACCATCCCTTAAAAAACAGTTTTGCAAAGCGTGGACTCAGCTGTCAAAATCGTCCTGTGGAAAACGGTCCCCCCCAAAAAAAACCATCTTGCAAAGCACGGACTGAAACATCGTCTAGTGAAAATTGCCCATAGGGAAAACCATTTTGCAAAGCGCTATAGCAATAGCAAAAACCCATCGTCTTGCGAATTAACCATTTTGCGAGGTAATCGTCTAGCAAGGCACCACTGTACTTGCTGAGAGTGGTGGCAAGAATTATTGAAACTTGATTATGGGTTCTTTATGATAGTAAGTGCATGGATGGTTAAATGATATATTGCTTACATTCTGTATTCAACTATGCTATGTGTATTTTTCTTGAAAGGAATCTAGAACTCTGGCGGAAATAGCTAAGGCAGAACTTGATGGAACAATTTTGAAGAGCAGACCTCTCCGAATTCGATTTGCTACCCATGGAGCTGCTTTAACAGTCAAGAATCTTTCACCTGTTGTTTCCAATGAGCTTCTGGAACAAGCTTTTTCTCAGTTTGGCCCCGTGGAAAGAGCTGTTGCTATTGTTGATGATCGTGGTAGAGCCACAGGAAAAGGCTTTGTAGAATTTGCTGCTAAACCTCCAGCTCGTAAAGCTCTGGAACGATGCAGTGATGGCGCATTCTTGCTAACAACGTAAGTCTATTTTTCAAACTATTTTTCAAAATAACGTCTAAGTCCAGCATGCAATCTATTATTTAGAATGGGTTTCTTGTTCTGTGTCTCAGTTGTATATTTAAAAGTTGCTTTGACCACTTTGATAAAATATTTTCGTAGATGGAGTGAAGGGAACATTCTTTCTTTGTTCTTCTCATCCTGTAAGACAGTGGTTCTTAATCTTTGTTACTCGGATGCTTTTGAACTGCAACTCCCAGAAACCCCAGTCAGGACAGCTGGTGGTGAAGGCTTCTGGGAGTTGCAGTCCAAAACTCCTGAGTAACCCAAAGTTAAGAACCAGTGCTGTAAGACATTGTAACTCCTAAGGAATTCCTGAGATGTGGGCAGCACCATTTCAGCTGTCAAATGTATTGCTGTTTGGTACAGTGGGGTCTTGACTTAAGAACGGCTTGAGTTAAGAACATTTTGACTTAAGAACCACTCTCATAGGAAAATATTGACTTGACTTAAGTACTTAGATTTGAGTTAAGAACTGAAAAAACCCCACGTGGGAGGCAGGGAAAGTGCAAAAAGTGAACTTTCAGTTAACTGTTGGCCAGTGAAAAGGGTGCCTGTCTGCTTCCTCACTCCTCCCAGTGTTTAGAGAGTGGATTGGGAGACAGTCTTCAGACTGCCTGGTACTGTACTGCCTGGACTGTATTTTCCCTGCCTTCCCTGAACCTTTCTTGACCTAAGAAAAAAAGAAACAAAATATCCCCATCTAGTGGTCAAAGGTGGAATAGCAGCTTCCCATTAGTTTCTATGGATGGAAAAGAGCAGATACGGATCAAATGGTTTTCAATACATTCCTATGGGAAATGCAGATTTGACTTGAGAACTTTTTGACTTGAGAACCGCCTTCCAATACGGATTAAGTTCTCAAGTCAAGACCCCACTATACTCTTGTATAATTCCTGGCAGAAGTAGACAATAACGGGTAGCTTGCTTTCCTATGCGTATCATATATTTAACTTTATAACAATCCTTGAGAGATGCCTGGGTGTAATATAGTTATAATTTTAAACAGTTATATAGAATATGTTGTGTGAATGCAGTTTTTGAATAAAGTAAGAAGGCTGCATGGTTCCCCACACCCAAAAACAATACAGATGTGAGAGCAGGTGATAACTTTATTGAGTCACTAAAAAAGTCAAGCAGACAGGCAGTTTTTGATGATAATCCATTTTCCTCACCTCTTCAAGCAAACAACAGTCAAGTAATTTGCAATTTTGTACTGTAGACCTAAAGGGTTGCATTACTTGTTCATACATTTATTGAGCAGCTCAGTTGTGTAGAATTGTTATTGATTTATTCTAAAATGACTTGGTGTGGCAGTTTTTTTGAAGGGAACTTTACAGGGAATGTCATATGTTCCACTCAGAGTATTTTAATTTAATGTTTCTGTTGTTGATAGAAGAAAGTTAAATGTATGAAACTGGACAGAAATGTTGAAGACATCTGTCTGAAGCATAGTCTAGTTAGATTAACCTGACATTGTGCAACTCCATTCTCATCTTTCTACCTACTCTCACCTGAGTGTACTTTATGTGAATGTGTTAGGTCAATTACATCTGTGGGAAACAATAAAATCATACTATTTGCTTGTTATTTTGTAGAGTCCTGTTTTTTTTATTTGATGTCAGTTAATTATTTTGTTTTTTAAATATGTATTTTAGAGGAATAATGCACAGGATAGAAAGGGGGAATCCTTTAATGCCTGAAAATTGCTACTGATAGTCCCAATACAAGCGACAATGATTTTCAGACAATTCTTTTCAAATTATTATTATTTTATTTATGGCATTTCTGTGCTGCCTTTCTCCTGACAATGGCTCCCACAGAAAGCCGTAAGGTTTCCAGTTGTGTATGGGGTCTTGGAAATTTTTCTTTGTGTGGGGACTACAATCCCAGAATCTCCCAGTTAGTTTCCCTAGTTTCTTTGCCACTTTCTCCATAAAAGAAGGTAAACTGTTCCAACTATGAAATCCACTGACAAATCACAACTAGATTAGATATCTTACCTAGAGTCTCAAAGGTAGACTTCTGGGACTGGGAGAAGATAAACCTAAAGATGAAAGAGATGTCCTTCTACCTCAATATTGTGTTTTCTCTACATTCATTAGCTGGGGAGCAGAAGGGAATGCCCCATTTTCACACCGTTTATGGGGAATTGTACCAGTAGTCTGTGCATATGGTAGTTTTGCTACCTATTACTGTAGGTCTATAAATGAACTTCTTAGCTGCCCTCTTATGGAACAGTGAAACAACTCCCAGGAAGCAGTACAATTGAAGGGCCATTTCCTGGTTTCCAGACAAATCACATGGAGTAAACCAGACAATGTTGGCATAAAAACAATTTTTTTGCCTTCCAGTTTCTCTTGCTCTAGTCCCAATCCCTTGTGTCAAGGACTCTGAGCAATGTCTGGGACTAAAAATCCAAGAATTATGAAAATCCCATCCCTAATTATCATTCTGTTGGTAGACTGATTTTGAATCAAGGAGATATATAGAAGACTACAGTAATTAAAAATAAAACCATTGATTTACGTGTGATTTACATGTAATGTATAGCTGAAATGATTATAACACTAGGAAAAGCTGAAGTTTCAGAAATAGAGGAAGACCTGTATGAGGAATTAATTCAATAAAAGAAGCCATAGCCTTTAGTTTGGAATACTTGAACATAACTATTAATCATTAGAACATTTGGAAGTCATTAATTTATATTTAAAAGCAGCAGCACATATCAACAGCAAGTGTACTATTGTGAAACTTTGAATTATTTACTCACTTCCTAAATAAAAATGTATAATAACTTTCTGGTATGCATGTAATATTAACTAAGTTGGTATCCAACTGATAGTCCCAGCTAGAGTACAGTAGATACATTGCATCAGTTGCTGAATGTAACAGTACATTTATTCAAGTTGGGACTATAATAGAATGTTGGACTGATTGGAAATTTGAATAGAGACTATACATTGTAAGCCTTTTTTAGACTAAGTTGCACCAATTTAGTTCAGAGTGTGCTGAACCCTTTTGGGTTTTTTGAAGTGGTTCAGAAGTGGTTTGGAAAGAATCAGAAAGGTTTGAGGCTGGAGGCAAAAAGGAGAATAAAACAGGAAATGGATTGGCTCCACTGTCTTATTCAATGTACCCTCTAATTTTCAGCCCTGCTGGGCGATGCTCTGCCTCTCTCATGAACGATTTAGCCCCTGCATGTGTATGTGACTCTGGCCCCTCATATCCAAGGTATGGCAACTATAACCAAAGGGGCTAAAAATAATCGTCGTGCCAGAGGAGAAAGAAAGCTGTGCAGAGGGAAGTGGAGTTATGCAGGCACGCACCTTAGAGCAAACAGTGTTCTTTTTATTTTCTTGAAATCATGAAAGATGGATGAAATGCCAGATGATTGAAAGAGGGCTAACGTTTGTATCTTCAAAAAGGAGGAGCCTGGGAATTACAGACTTGTTTGCCTGACATTAATCCCAGGGAAAATTCTGGAGCAGATTATAAAGCGAATTCTGGAGCAGATTATAAAGAGAATAAGCTGGTCATCACTGTGACAACCCCAGACCTACTGGGATATGCCACAGTTTAACTAAGCTGCCACCAACCATTCCCTGTAAGGAGTCACACAGACCAGGAATGGATTTTTAACAAATAAAGGAATAAGGTTTATTTAAATAACACACAGGGAAAATAAACTGATTAAGTGAATAAGATACAGTAACGTGGCTTAGTCTCAATCATACATACACCAGTTTGGTTCACACAGAACACCTTTCAATAAAGCACAGACCCTGAACCTATCAGTTCTGGCTCCCCATACAGACACCTGAACCTATCAGGTTGGTACTGACTGACACACAGTAGTACCCTGTCTGACACACAGACTCCCACACCAGCTTCTTCTCTCAGCTCTCCTTCAGCTCTCCTAACTTCTCCACACAAACTCCACATATATATACAGTACAGCCCCTCCTCCTGATGTCCCGCCTTCCACTCCCCATAGGATGGAACTTTCCCTCCAAACCCATGACAGACAGGTAACATCAGTGCTGTATGTAACAGCAGATTATAAAGAGAATAAGCTGGTCATCACAAACACTCTTTTCCAACAACACAAGAGGCGACTCTATACATGGAAATCACCAGATGGGCAATATCGAAATCAGATTGATTATATTCTCTGCAGCCAAAGAT